ATATTTTGTTGTTAAGCTCAAATATTTAACGATGCGATAGGGGAAATTCTACGGATATTTTTATTGTAGAATTCGCCATGCGCTTAACTGAAGAATTAAGATTCATCAGAAAATGAAAATAGAAAAGCCGTGAAATTTTTATGAGTCTTTCTAGCAATTCGTTGCAAACTTCAGAAAACTCAACACTTGAAAATATTAATAATGAAATAATGCAAATTAGAAAACTCAGTTTCGAGTCAGTCGATTCGATCTGCGTTCCGAATATTATTTATTGCTTGACTTCAGTGGGGCGGATTTTCTTATGATTTGGAATTTATTATTTTCCGTTTGTAAATTTAATTCCGGAGCAACAGACTCGATCAAAGAAACCAAAAAGGAAGGAAATGTGGAAAATATTTGAAAAAGAGAGTTTTGTTTTGTTTTTTTTTTTTTTTTTTTTTTTTTCCGGTCGTGTCGTGCAGTCATCACGACTATTAATAGGTCAAACGAATAGACATCGATAGTAACGCCCATACAAAATGGCCAAAGTTCACACACGCACCACGCACATACATGCATACGTTGTCTCGGCGGCTGAGTTTTCATTGGAATAATGTGTTCAACATTTCTAAACATTTACAACAGCATATCTGTCCACATTCACATTTCAGAAAGATTCTTGTTGAAAATAAATCAATACATTTTCATGAAAATAATAAACATAAACTAAAAATTCTCAAAGCTGTCTATATTAATAAATTGAAACCAACCCTTAATAAAGTTGATTATGAATACTGTACAAATGTTTTAAAATGTGTACAGTAGATATTTTAAAATGCCAAAGTTTGCACTAATAGTTTCAATACTTATTTCTTAAAAACTCTCGACATACTTAGTTACCTCCCCTGAAGTGTTAATCAAGCCAGTCACAGTACTCACTCAGCGTTCTTCACTTCACAAGTAAAAAAAGTAACTTTCAGATGAACATAGAAATTTTGTCTTTGAAATTGATGAACACTGCAATATTTACCTCGCAATAAACAACACCCTGATGATAAAGTACTTGGAATAAAATAATATGCATCAACATGGCGATTTTCTCTCTTCTTTTAATAATGACACTTGTCTGTGAATATGAAAGGACCCAATTAAAAATAAGTAGTCAAAAATTGTCTAAATTATTCAATGAAACATGTCTCTCTCTCTCTCTCTCTCTCTCTCTCTCTATCTATCTATCTATCTATCTACACACACACACACATATATATATATATATATATATATATATATATATATAAAGAGTTCGAATTCCAGTCAAGTCCAATACATTCACTTACGTTCTAATACCCTTGGGAAAGGTATTAATCCTCTTCTTCTCCCTCCAGCTATGGGTAAATAGCTGGACAAACTCAGTTCTATAGCCTTGGGTGGCAACTGGTCTAGAAGGAGGAGAACTCTGAATTCAAAACCTGCAGAGGGTCGTGTTTGGGGACCTTGTGGCATGTAGTTCACCAGGTCTCTGTATTCGGCCCTTCAAAAAGTGTGGTTGGTTCTACACTAAGCCTTCACCACTATAATCAAATCATATGTGCTGGTGTCTGTACAGTTGGTTCCTAGGAAATGAGCTGCGTGACCCTCATACGCCGAATACGACGGGAGAGTCCACCATATATATATATATATATATATATATATATATATATATATATATATATATATATATATACAGCGAGGCAAAGTCGCGCACAATAGGGATACTTTATTAAAAGTATAATTACATATGAAAATTTTATTTGTATTTACTAGTTATTTAATTGTTATATATGTTGTTTAAATTCCCTATTCTTTTATCCATAATGTTGAATGTGTTAAAATTATTCAGCTTTTTCACAAGAAAAATCTGAAGTTGATGTTAAAAATTGCCGCAGAACAGTGTTGATGCATTTAAGATGGAATAATCTATTATGACATGTCTCTAATTTGTATTTATTTTCAATTTGTCTAGTTGAATTGTTCACCTATATTGTACATGATTAAGTTAAAAAAACAAAACATTTGTATCTTATATGAATACTTATGAAAATTGCGTGGTGGGGCCCGTATCATAGATTTGACTCTTGCACCGGCTTGGGCTTAAAACTCACTTGGATACCAACCAGTTATTTCTATATCTATAGCAAATAAACCCTATGTCCAACACAATTACATACCCATATACATACCATATTAAGACACGCCCAAACTTTATTTTTCTAGTTGAATTATTCACCTATATTGCATATGATCCATTATTGTACATAATTAGGTTACAAGAAATTTGGATTTTGTATGAATACTACCTCATGAAAATTGAGATGTAATAAAGTGGTGGGCCCAGATCCTTGCACCGGCTCTGCCTATGAGATTAAAAAGGGCACCGAAAGCAACTGATTTCGGAAAAATATAAGAACAATTCTTAGACAATAAAATTCTGAAAGATGGCAGAAAAGTGGAACAAAGTCTTAAATACATTGTCCAGTAAAGTAAAAGTGGATGAAATAAAAACATTGATTGATCGATAAACGTATGCACACTAGACGCCTGCACCGGCCCTGCTAACTATGAATCACATATAACTGTTAAGAATACATTTGGAATGCACTAACATACGACAATGTTCAAAGCGGATGAAATAAAAACGTTGATTGATCGATAAACGTAAGTTCACTGATAAGTCTGCAGTTTAATGTTGGAATAAAAAAAACGTTTAATATTTTACACAACAAATGTTTTCAGCGTAATCCTTGACAGTGCACTTAATTCGGTGATTAATATTAATCCCAGAAAAACGAAATTCTTCTTTATTTTCAGGCGATCATAGCTCTTCACAATTTCCTGCTCGTTTTAGCTCTTAGTAAATTTTCTCTTTTTGCTATCTCTCCTAAGTTTTATTTTGGTAACACAAGCTATTTAGGTAGGTTATGCACTGGTTTCCTGTCACCCTTGCCTTCAATATGTCCTGTTAGTGTCAAATTTTCTAAGCCCTCTTTCTTTAGTGTGTCTCAGAAATTTAAACCGTTTCTTTCTAACGTGAAGTATCAGTGTCCTTTTTTATTCCTTTTCTCTAAAACTTCGTCATTGCCCACACGTTCATTCCATAATATTCTCAGCATCCTTCTGTAGAATCACATTTCCGTTGCTTCAAGTCTCTCCTTCATCTTTCAAGAGATAACCAAGCATTCACTGCCATATAGGAAGACCGATATTACATAATAGTTCAGTATTCTTTTCTTTGTTCCTAATGAAATTTTCCTGTTTCTTAATACTTTGCTTAGCTTTTGGAAGGCATTCTCCCGCTATCCCAACGGGCCTTAGGATTACAGTGTCACATTTTCCACCCTTCGTTAAAACATTTCCTAGATATTTAAATTTTAGCTTGATTTTGGTGTCTCCAATTTATACTTTGCATGTTGGGCTGTTCCATTTGCTGACAACCATACATTTTGTCTTTTTACAATTGATGTTTAGTCCTTTCTTGGCGCTTTCTTTTTTATCTTATGTAGGAGTGCATGTAGTTTTCTTTCTGCGTCTGCTATCTAATAGCATATCTAATGTTGTTAAGATTGTCGCTGCCAATAATAAATCTTTCTAATTCTCTCGGGATTGCTTCACTGTAAAGGCTGAATAAGTCTGACGAAAAGACACGCCCTTATCTTACGCCTCTCTCTGCTTTTGTGTATTTACCGGATCCGTTTTCTATTTGTAGGTAGATGGTTTGATCCCAGTATAATTTCGCGATCCTAGAAAACCACACCACAGGTTGACAGAAGCCTGCTGAGTGAAATTGGGTACACTGAATTGTTCGGAATCCGTCAGTAATTGTGCTGCACGAAGTCACAAGTCATCGTGACAGAGGAGGGTTTGATCACAATGGCGTTGTACGAACAGCTGATCATGTTAGATTATACGATCTCTACCAGAAACTGTAACTAAGGCCTAAGGTAGTTGCTGTGTAAACCACGGGTAGATTGTGTTAAACAAGCACTAATGTGTTTAATTCCGGTCGAGGACTCTTGGGAGAAAGCGCGATTTTGTAAATATGAATTGAGCCCTCTCGGTCATTGGCGTGTTTATTCGAAGAATAAGTACGCAAAAATTAACATTCCTCTCAACCGGGCGCTGATAGCTCAGGGGTAAAATCTCTGACTGATGCCAAATCAGTCAGGAGGTTTCGATCCCGGCTTGAGGCAATCGGATATCTAGCCACAAAGACGAGCTGTGATGCAGCAAAACAATCTGTCTGTGGACGGCAATATATATATATATATATATATGTATATATATATATATGAGAAAGTAGAAATGTTTTTGTTTAAGGCATTTCAAATACAATGAATTAAAAATATATTATTCTACCCACTAACTCTATTACAACTACAATCGAAAAGAACTTATGTAAACTCAACATAAAATTTGTTACTACTACATCTAAAACAATAAAAGACTTAGTCAATACTAAACAAAATAATAAAGTAAAACTTGATGGAGGAATTTATTCTATCGCCAGTAATAATTGTCACAAAAATACATAGCAGAAATCTCAAAGAATCTAAATAAAAAATTACATGAACGCAAAAGGGACATTTTACAAAACAATACATCGAATGCGTTGGTTGCTCACTGCCACGAGAATGACCACAAGTTTGACATTAAAAAAATGTTACTCTGATCAGAAGAGAAAAACAATTTATTAGGACGAAAATGTTTAGAGAGTGCCTTAAACGCAAGGTCATTCACAGTATATTTGCACCCTGGCTCTTACAACATTTCACCGTTCCTGATAGATTCTCTATTATCATGATACGATTACGTTTTTTATTTCGTTTTTCTTGTGTTCGTATAAATGTTTTCTTTTCTGGGCATAAAGAAAAGAACAAATTAACACTGAATGACATGAACTATGAACACGGCCACAATGTGCTGACCATGTTTGAAAAATAAAACATACATGAAAAATCCATAAATACAGATAAAAACAAAAATCACCTGTGATAATAGATAGACAGATAGATAGATTTGAACGTATTTAGATAAATATTTACAAATTGAGATAGATAGATAGATAGATAGATAGATAGAATTTTAACTAAACACACAACGCTTTGAATTAAAAAATGACTACTGCGGTTCCTATTTATCCGAGAAGCACAGTTTTTCACCGCATGATGTTATCAAATTTTGAAGGAGAATTCGATGCCTCAGGAGGTGTGTGTGTGTGTGTGTGTGTGTGTGTGTGTGTGTGTGTGTGTGTGTGTGTGTGTGTGATCTCGAAGGAAAACACGGGAGGTGCCCGCGGACAAAGGAAATGGGAATGTTCTTGACTCTTGACTGCAGTAAATTACCATTTTAATCGCATCCCCAACCCAACCTTACTCTCCCCGGAGGTGGAGTAAAACTGACGGTGAACTCATTACCCTCACTTATGAATTACATACTTAACCCCAGAGGATAGATAGAGCTGAGTAGAAAAAGACAGCGTACGACCAAGTGTGGGTGAAGTGCTCTTATGATACGCTAGTACGCAGACGATATTTCTTTTTCTTTTATGTGCCATGTCACTTCAGAAAGTGGATGATCATGGCACTCCACAACTTCCTACCCTTATTATGTGTCCTACTATCTCTTCTGCCATCGAAGCTCTGGGATAATTTACTCGTTGCTTCTCTCTGTCCCACTTGCCTTATGTCCTGTGAGTGTCAAATTCGTCAAGCCGCTTTTCTTCATTGTGTGTTCCAGAAACTTCAATTGTCTCTTTCTGGTGCTAATCAAATGTGTCCTTTTCGTTATCATTTTTCTTGAAACGTCCTTTTTGCTCACATATTTCTTCCATGTAATCGCATCTTAGACTACGACAGTACGATTGATTGATTGATTGATTGATTTTTGTTTTTACGGCTTATCAACCTTTTTACCCATCCCTGATATTTCTACAATATTTATACGTACGTAGAATGCGCTTTGCAGAACAGTGCTGGCAAACAAAAGAAAAAATCGTGAGTAATCTATTGTTCTGGACACCTAGCCATAGAGTAAGACGGGCTGGTCGCCCACGACCACATATACATTGACCAGCTATGTTATGGCTCAGAATGCCACTATAATGACCTCCTGACCTTGATGCATCATTCTGATGGTTGGTGTGATAGACTCATGAATATCCGAGATAGTTCGACAAAATAAAATAAATAAAAATAATGAATAAAGCTGAAACATATTTTTAGCGTGTAAGAATTTTTGGAAGATAATGGCTTTATGGTACAAGACTTATTTTATAACAAATATCTGGGAGGAGAAGAGAACAATTCCCAAGGGTATTTTCACGTAAGTGAATACAACGAACCCGACTGGAATTCGATCTCGATTCTCCAATTTCTTATTCCGAGCCATTATCTATTACATCACCCGCACATCCAACCTGACAGCACGTGGTTTCCCAAGCGATTACCATCAAGATACTGACCAGATTCAACGTTGTTTAACTTCGATGATCGGATAAGATAACCAGTTTTTCAATGTAATATGGCCGTAAACCACGACAACACGAAGCTTTTTTTTGTCTTCTACTTTTAGAGAGAACAACACACCAACAATGTGACGCATATATACTTTCATGTGTGCGACGAAAGAAATAAGATAAAGAAAAGCAAATGGAACGATAGGAAGACCAACTAAGTTTTATAATAAACAACAAAAAAAGTTTTATTATAATTTTAACGATTATGATCAGTGGCTATAAAGTAAAAAAAAAACAAAGGCCTACCGGCAAGAACTTAGGAATACCTCAAAATAACTTCCGTTATGAGTTGCTGGGTTTTGTCATATATTTTACATGTCCCGTAAAACAGTCAGCTCTGAATCAGATTTCTACAACAACTGACTTCGCCAGCCAACTCGCTTCATTTTGGTGCCACCCAACGAATACGGATACCCGGATAAAAAAACCTTCACTTTTTAAGGTCATCCTACTACATCAAAGAGTTATTTGGTGTGTGTTCTTTTTTTATCAAAATTACTCAGAACTATACTTCCAACCTCTCACCCACACGCGGGACGTGGCAAGCCTCCAGCTGCTCTATCACTACTTCCACAGAAAGTGCTCGGACGAAATACATTCCCTGGTTCCGCTAATTCAAACCTTCACGGCAAGGACACGCCATGTCACTTACATAGTATCAAACCATCCACATTTCCTCCGTATTCCATCGGTGAGGAGTAAGTTCCACTCTAACAGCTTCTTGCCGCGTACCACTGCTCTGCGGAACTGACTCCTAAGAGAACGTTTCCCCGATCAGTCCAATCTTAACCTGTTCAAGGCCAAGCTTAACCATTATCTTCCACTCCTATCCGCACAAATTCCCACCTAACGTAACCCTCTACCTAGAGTGGCCCCGGGCCTTGTAAATGGTGAAACTTACTGTAAAAAAAAACTGCAAAAAGTTTTATTTGTTAAAAAATACATTGTCTGAACAATACGAAGCCCAATGCACGCGTATAATAAGGGTAAAAGGGTACATGCATCACAGCCAAATATACTCAGTGTAGTGACAGGTTTTGATAAAAGCGGTTCATAGATTTGCAGGGGGGGGGACTGTTTACAAATATCTTCAAGTTGGATAATCCAGTCCACTCAGACGGTCTCCTATTAAGAGAAATTTCAAATATCTAGATATGACTCCCATGGCGACTTAGCTGCTTCATCCTTCAAACTCAAAAACAAGCTCGTCGACAACAAGCTATGATACCGCCACTACTTCCGCTTGCACAGTGCACCAGACCATAAGGTACATACTGAACTGTTTAATGTCAGACAACTGACAAACAAATCTATGGTACTGAACGGGGCATTTATTGTAGCTCATCTTAACATACCGATAGAAACTGCCTCTTCTCATCTATTAGAAATCAGCTTGGGCACCTAGAGGCGGCGTAATAGTTAGCAAGCTTGTTTCGCTAAAACAATTACGAATGAATAGTGAGTTCGATCCTCACTGGGTGCCCCTTACTTTCGGCCTTGTGCCACATCCAAGCTACGCATGGAAAATCACTATTAGAAATCGCCTTCCAAGCTCCGAATCTGCAGAATGCACAGACCTCATCAGGAGTACGACAAGGGGGAAATGAGAAACCAAATCTATGTAATCTCCTCCTAGACTGGGTGCAGGACGACTCAACAGCGCCGACTCATCTTCATGACAACTCCAGGACAACTCACCACCAGCCTACTCAAAGCGAGGAAAATTCAACCACATGCAAACTATTTTTTGCAAAAGTTTTGTATTGGTACGACAACACTAACTTGGCTTTTCTTTTACGTTTAATTGTTTTCCTCGTGGCTAAAACATCTGGCAATGATCCCAGTTTAACCTGAGATACATTTGCTAATACTTCACTTATTACTACACTTGTCTTGTCAACGATGACCTTGGCACGGCGTTTCAAGGCTGTGTGCACTTTAGCCACTTCTACATTGGCCGCTGACGAATTGTGGGAATGCTTGTTTACTTCCTTGATAGCTGCTCCAAACTTCGTATGAATCCTTGCATTGCACCTAAAGCCTTGGTCACAACGCCAACATTTTATGTTGCTGTCTCTTTTACTAAACTTATCAAAGGCAAATTGCCTTCGTGTGTAAATTTTTCTTTTCCTCTTTGACTAAGAATTTCCATTTTCGGTGTGATGAAAAGTTTGAAAATTAAACATCAGTCAACCAAATAGGCTGTTGTAACTAATAAATCACCAAGAGAAACAGCAAAACTTTCAAAATCTTTACGATTCAAAGCCGCTTTAAGATATGTGCACACTATGACAGCCAACGCCGGTCTGAAGTTATGAATTCGATTCCAGCGTTGACTTGACCTCGCGCTGAGTAGGCTGATGGTGAGTTGTCGAGGAGTTAAATTGACCGGTCTTGAGTCGGTCGTGATGAAATGTCCCTTCCTGCTTAAACTAAACCCTGTGCATTTATAAATACAAATTTGATTAGATGGACACTGACCATTTAAGCATTGGCTTTTCCTCTTATTATTATGGATTTCTTGGATTTTCTGTTGTATATACATTTCTTTTCAGGTCCCAACCAGAGATCTAAGGTCAGAAATGGCTTCATGACATTTTTCACTGATCATTTTTTGTAAAAAAAAATTTCTAAGATCACACACATTTTACATAAAACTCTTCGTAACGTATGTAAGTGAGCACACTTTTTGTATTCTTTAAGGCATGGGCTACCAGGTATCCCTTAAATATGTCTATCAGAACCTTTTTCAATCAATCCGAGGGCTCCAACTACAAATGAAATCATTTATGTCCTCATGTGCCACATTTTATAGATTTGCATTGCAAGATCCTTGTATTTTGGTAGTTTTTAAGATCTTCAAAGATACATTACAATTTGCAGGGACTGCCATGTCAATAAGAAAGAACATTCTCTTTTTGTAGTCTTTAATCACGATGTCTGGGCAATCAGCTTTGATTTTCTGTTTGTTTGTATTGTAAAGTCCCATAAAATCTTTACAGGTTCTATCTCTGTAAAACATTTTTCAGTATAGATATTGGCCCATTCTATCATGCCTAGTTATATATTCAGTGGGTGCTAACACTGTGCAATCTGATATAAGATGGTCAACTGTTTCCGAATATATTTTGGGTTAACACAATTTATCAGTATATGTACTTGGTAATTTATCGTTAGCAAACATTAGTCCTGTGCAGAAGAAATACAAATCCCTCGGTTTCAGCTTTTAAGCCTTCACTATGTAGCCACGGGTGGGTACGGGGTTTGTCTACATCGGCTTCTTTGGTACAGGCAGGGTATTGGTCATGAAGAGGCTTATCTTGCCATCGTTTTATCATCATCATCATCATCATTATTATTTCCATTTCTGCTATGGTCACACTACCGAACAAGTCTGCGAGAAGTCTGTGTTGTTATGGTTACATTTCATGATTTGATTTTCTAACTCCCATAACATCACTAGCGTTACATGAACAAAGTTCTTCTTAGTGTGTGGCCTGTACTTATCAAGACAATTTTTTTTATTTCTCTTAAGTTGGGTTTTCCAGGGATTTTTCCAATGTGCTGTTGGCTTCCTTCTTCTTCTTCATATTATTATTATTAAAGAAAATGATTGACGTAATTTTTCCAATATTTTCCAACAGTTAAGAGAAAAGCACGATTTAAGAAAAGGAAATCACAATGTTTGACAATAGTAATATCTGTCTTCTTCAAGTTAGATTTAAAAAAAAAAATTAAAAATATAAAATTATAGATCCACAAAAAATATAAGTCTTTGTCGAAACGTTGCTTGTCTAGAAATGACAAATGACTGTCCTGGTAATGAACGCGTTAAAAGCGAATGGAACGAAACGAAAATAATCATAAAAGAGGAAAACCCTATTCGTTGTGCAACAATATAAGTCACGATAATTCTATGAGAAATATCACGATTTCTACAAAGG